TTACTACTGTAAGCCTCACCCCTAGGATCCTTATGGCATCTTCCCTTTGGGGCCTGGGCCCATGAGAACCTTGGTTCAAGAGGAGGGGGCAGTGCTTCTGAATGGAACCACCACACCTCCGTTTTAGAGCCCCAATTCACTTTCATTTTTGCTGCCAACGAGAATAAATGTATCACCTGGGTGAGGGCTTTGAGGGTGTCCGAGTCTGCACTAATGAGGACCGTGAGGTAATCTGCGAACATCAATGTTACCGGGACCAGATGTTGGGGGAGTTCCGGCATGGGCGTTTTGGCGATGTGGGGGTGAGCTCTAATTAGCGAAGCCAAGGCTTTCATTACAATCACAAACAACAAAGGCGCGATGGGGTCCCCTTGTCGCACATATCATTGTAGTTGTATTGGCGGCGAGAGATGGTCATTGAGCATGACGTTTGTGGAGGCTGTTTAGTGGAGGATCTGGGTCCAGTGGCTGAAGGCCGGACCAAAGTTCATCTTGGCCAAGCACATGTCAAGGAAGTCCCAATCCACATGATCGTATGCTTTCTCAAAATCTATGAACAGGACAGCTGCCCAGACATTGCACTGGCGGGCGTATTTGATGGTCTCATTGACCAACAAGATATTATCTCGGATACTAAGGTTGGTCATAAATCCAGTTTGGTCCAGGTGTATTAGTACATTCATGAACGGGAGCAGGCGATTGGTTAGCGCCTTGGCGAGCATTTTATAGGGGATGGCAAAAGGGTGACGGGTCCGTAATTTCTTATGTCCTCTTTCTCCCCTTTCTTGTAAAGAAGTGTGGTGACCGATCATGCCTCCAAACGAGCCCTCCTTCTGGGTCCAGTTTTGGCTGCGAGGGGGTCTTCCATAAGTTGTTCGTTTCAATCTTCTAATTCCCGCATGAGCCTGCCAAGCAGGGCTTTGCGGTCTCTTGCATATTGGACTAATTTTTTTTTGGCTACATCTCTCCTTTGTGCTACCCCCTCGTTAAACCAACCCACCCTCTCTCCCGATTGCAGTCTCTGGGTTTGCCAGTATAGCCAAAAGTTGGTGACCATGTCTTTGAAGTTAGACAGACGGAGGAGGGAGGTGTTGAGCTTATAGAAACCAGCTCCTCTATGGATATGAGTGTGCAAGGCCCAGTGTTATCATCCTGTGGTCAAAAGATATGCAGGGGCTGATGGTAGTTGTTTCTGCAGTAGTGACCAGTCCATGAAAATTAAAAAGAGAGGCGTGCAGCAAGGTCTGGCAGCAAAAAAACATAAAAAAAAAGAAAAAATCTGTTTTCTTTGTGTGCCCGGGGTACCCTGGGTGTGGCATACTGCGTAGCCACACGGGCCTACAGGGCCCGTCCCGGACATTCAGCCTAAAAGCCTAAAACTTAGGGCTTACAGGCCCCGTTCAT